CCCTCGCCGATTCCACCGTTCGAATCTGTTCTTTTCACGCGGCGCGATGATCTGGTTCTCCACGTGGAGGTGCAACGATCATTAGGGCGGGGAAACGATCGAGATCGGGGGGCATAGCACCTGGCCCGATCATCGGCAACTCTTAATGCCCACACGCAATTCCGAATGAGAACTCCGGCCAAATACAATACAGAAGTGTGCGCTGCCGGATCTAATCGATCGATCGCACCGCGCCGCGAATAGCGTACAAAACGATCGTTTTGAGCGATAATTTCCAGCCGTCTAACCGTTTCGACCGCTCGAAAACTATACTCGACTCGCGGCTCGCTTGTGAATTAAGTGCGGCGGACGTCTGTCTTATTCCGGCTGTGTAAATCACGCGACAAGAGACGGGGACGGCGGCTCGAGAAGTCGTGAAGTTCTCGATCTCGTCGATCGTTCATTACGATTATATGCCGCTCTAATTGCGGCCTACTCGTGTGTAACACGATTTGCACGAGATACGCTGGCACTCGTAAATTCTTCCACGATCGCTTTCGCGGAGACATTTCTGGAGGACAACGCTCCGAGGAGGAAAGCAACCTATATAATTATCTGAAACCTTCTGGCAACGGCATTGGAGCCGCTTTTTTAATAATTACTTACCTACCGATCTGAGAATATCAAGGCCGAACTGTCCGGGTAAGCTGATCGCGCGAATTAACCGAAGAGAAACTTTTCAAAGATACTTGTTTTTTTTTTACATCATTCATACATTTTCAATTTCTTTCCCGTTCCGATTATTTCGTAATAAAAAAGTGAATTTTCCCCGCCGTAATAATTACAATCGATACGGTGTAAGTCGCCAGCTGTTACGGTTCGAGTTCGCCCCTCCTCCTCCTCCTCCCCCCCCCCGAAAAGACGAAGATCAGTTTTCATAATATAAAATTGAACGAACGGTAGCGCGGCCGTTGTTGCCGCAACGCGCGTTTATTAGCGATCGCTTGATTCCTTGGCCAACGGTCTGATCCACGCCCATGAATCAATCGTTGACCCGCCATTGTTTCGCTGCATAATGCACGAGATATTGCGTAAATATCTGACTCGTCGGCAGGAGAAAACTTGTGGAGAAACAAATGTTGTATATATTATTACATGCGGAGGATTGCGTTCGATGCCCGCACCTTTCAATCTTTAACGGGTACTTGTGGAATATAAAAATTTTTTTCTTTTTTTTTTTTTTGCGAGCACTAGTGCAGCACTAGTCGTTGGAGATAAATATATCGTTTCGACTCACGTTAGATCTCCGTTCGCTAAGAAGAAGGTTTTGAACCGGCGCTGCTCGCGCCGGCCGGCGCCTCGTCTTATTTCGCTGATCGCGCGGCACGCAAACAAATGCGCATTATGCGGGCTCTAAGCGCTCAGAAAGTGCGCTCGTGTTTTCGGTGTAACCTGAAGCTAAGCGGTTTAAGAGATCACCGCGCCGTATAAACCGGCCGTCTGAGAATCGTCTGGGGATCCCGCGTGCGTGAGAAGCAGCAGTGAAAAAGGGATGGGGCGAGAGACAAGTAGCAAGGCGAAAAAGAATGTCGTAGAGAGTGAGAGAGAGAGAGAGAGAGAGAGAGAGAGAGAGAGCGGAGGAAGAAGCGGGAGGAAGAAACGGGCGAAAACGGAGAGAAGAGAGTGAGATACCGAGGAGGAGATACGAGGAAGATTCCGGGCAACGAAGAGGGCAAAGTGAGAGGGCAAGGCAGAAAGACGGGATGAAAAATTAGATTTACAAATCTGTCTTGACTACTATGAGATTGCTCGCTTATCGGTTAGCAGCGGTGCTCAGCCTTCGTCTCGTTATTCCCCTAACGATCCCTACTCCGTGAATAATGTACGGCCGTGTGAAGGATGCGCGTATATAATTAAGAAGACGATCCCGAGTCTCGAAAAATCCCGCGTCTCGATTATCTCCGACGTGTCATTCTATCGAAGAGGCGATTAATTAATCGACATTGAATTTATCATTTATATGGAGATGCATCGCGATGGGGAAGGTTGAGAACGTTTCGCGATTGGGTGTTGTATCGAGGAAGAGAGTAAAGAAAGGTAACAAGTCCCGGATATTCCCTCGCTGAAGCAAAATGCATCTCCGTGTATATGTGCGTGTACATGCGTGTTTTCGTGCGTAACGTCCTAGTGTTGATGCGTAACGTCCTAGTGTGAATTGCATGCGTTGTGTGTGTGTGTGTGTGTGTGTGTACGCGTGAGCGCCTCTCTGGCGCCTACCGCCTATGAAAAATGAACCTCCCTCTCCTGGGTGCACCAGTATCATCGTCACTATCGTACAGATTGTTTCAACGGAGATCTTCCTCGTCTGCTTCGCCGCCGACAAAGCTCGAAAGGTGCCAGTGACGCTCATCAAAAGAAAACGCCGGCCACTCGAAACGGAACTCGATCCTAATAAAGCGCCGATATAACAAAGCACTGAATACTCTGAGAGAATAGATCGCGGAATCTTCCGTAAGATTTATTCTTAGACAGTCTTGCGAATGCAATGAAAATCTTTCATAATTCATTGCATAATTAATTACGTAAGTATTCTGCGCCACGTAAGTGTACGTAAAAGTAGAACTCACGTAATTTCATTCGCCCATTCGACGTTTATATATATTCAATCGTTCGTGCATGATTTTATACGTACGTTACATGAAGAAATGTTAATTTAAAGATAAGACGCGCGAAACTTTGCAAATTTGTTTTGTCAGTTTGTCGATAACGAGTTCGAGGTGAAACGTCACGTGTTATTTTCACGGATGATTTTTCTTTTCCCTTAGTCACGTAAGAGTCCGCTCTCGAAACGTCCGTTCACAAACGATCTACGTAGATTAGCCAACAAGACAAGAAGAAACTTTTTCAAATTGGTTCCCCGGTGGTAGCGGAGCCGGGTGTTCGTTTAATCGTTTCGCGCGGTTTCTTCTGGGATGCCTTTCCTCTCGAGTGTAATCTTGAAATCAGGACTTGAGATATCCACTCGAGGTATCGCAAATAAGACTTATTCACAGAGGGAAGATCAGCAGGCGGTCGTTAAAGCAGTCGTTTCTACATACGTGTCGTGCCACGCGGCAGTTTCCAGTTTCACAGCTCACAACTCGGCTCACAATCATTGATAATTCGCAGTTGCGGTGTACTTTTCTCATTTCTCGCGATAGCTAATCGGCCGAGACGATCTCGATCGTACTAATGAATCGAGAGACTCACTTCCGTGCTTCGCGCGCGAGGGCTGATATTTCCTCCTTAATCTTTTCAGCAGATAATCGGTCGCGATGAATATCGCGACCACAACGATCGGGGTAAGACATTACCTCGATGACGGGTGTCTCTAACCACAGTAACTCTCTCTCACTGTACAGCTCCAGGCCAGGAAGACCCCCAAAGAGAGCTTCCGTTGGGCTGAGCCTTGCGGCGAGTCACCTAGCCGCGGCGGCTGGTCATCATCCTCAACACTCCCTGAAGAAGCACAGAATGGACAACGGCGATTATTACGAGAACGGGCATCTCGGTGAGTGAACCCACAATTATTTCATTTAATACGTGTAAAGTTACCTTAAAGCAACATTGGCTGCGGACTCAACGGACTCGGCAGTTGAGTGAGCGCGCTCGCTGCTATCGATGTATTTATTCTTTCGGATCTAAAATATGCCGATTGAGTCCGCTGAAACGCGCAGCCATTGAAGGCAATTATATCTTATCGATGAATATTAATAGGATCAGAGATCTTTCGGAACTCTCTCTCATCTCTGCTGTGTTGCGATCGTTACTGTCAATTTCAATTCGTTGCGTTTTATTGAATGATAAAAATGTGTAAATTTAATTTTCTTCCGATTTTTGTTCGGCATTTTCGCGGAAGAATTTATGCGTACAAACGCAGAGACCGGTCTGGTCGAGCGCAGGGTTATGCCAAATAGAGCACGTACGTGCAAATAGACGTACGTAGCGAGGGCCACGCGCTTGATTACTGCCATCCGTATATACGCTCTGGCATACGGTGACCCTACCGATCAATTAATTAGGGGAATCAAACACACTTGGAGTGAGCAAATTAACTGCGACTGCACCGTCGTGTTGCGGCCTGCGGTGGCGGTCACCGATGCCCGGGATATCGTACGATATCCCTTTACGTACGCAATTGATACTCGCGCTGTCTTCGCATTCCCCATCGCCGGATTCCGATCCAGGAAGTTCCTGTGCCATTCTCAATTTATCTCTCGTGCCGTTGCTGCATCGCTTTGCGATGCGTCGCATCGTCGTACGTATTGGTTGAACCGACGTGTTTCAGATATTTCATTAATTATTAATACTTAGTATTATTAATAACGTGACGCAATTAACAGTATTATAATCTCGCACGATTCCGTTTATACTTGCGCGATATTCATCGCTCGCTGTGAACATCCGGAAGATCGATAAACGCGCATACAATATTCATTGGTTTATTTGCGCGGGCTCTCTTTGTGCTCTTCGATAGCGCTTTGAAGGGTGTCCGTTGGGACGCGCTTATTTCGCAGATATATTATCATCGGGGGACATACAGATATATATATAT